ATTCGCGTTGCGATAGTCATTTTCTCATTGCAATTTTTACGTTGCGATTTTTATTTTGCATTGCGATTATCCCGTTGCGATAGTCAAATTCGCGTTGTGATAGTCATTTCCGCGTTACGATAGTCATTTTCGCGTTGCGATTTAAGTTTCGTGTTGCGACTATTCTTCTTCTGCAAATTGAAACTTGAATGGATTGCATTACTTCAACCAAAAGACAAAACAAAGACAAATACTAACTTCACATGGTTATTTTAGAACTGTTTAGCAGTATTGACAGCAACCGAATGAATTTACTAAGCAATCTAAGTGAAATCGAGAGTAAATCAAGTTAAATATGAAAAATCTTAAACTTACCTCGTTGCGTAGAGTATGAACCTCATTCTGCAACGATACTACCATCTCACGTAGAGCCGCTACCTCACCACGTAAAGTAGATACCTCGTCACGCCATGCACCATTGTCATCGCGTAAAGTACCGACTTCCTCACGCAAGGCATTGACATCATCACGTAACTCCCCTAACTCATCCCTTGGAGGTGGAGGTGGAGAATAGGGAGATAAATGTCGTGGCATCTTTGTCGCTCACCTATCATGAGGTGATGGTGGAGAAGAGGCTCGATGATGTGACGGAATAGGTGATGGCTCTCGTTGTAGAGGTATATAGTGTGGTCGATCAGGTGATGGCTCTGGGTGAGGTGATGGCTCTCGAAGTGGAGGCTGCTCATCATCCGTGCCATCAAAAAAACGCTTACTAGCTTGCCACCAATCAGTGGCAAGCTCAGCCTCCGTGGGTGTCAGCCTCTGTAATGGAGTGTTGACCTCCTAACAATATAAAAGCTCAAACAAAGTTAAACGTGTACTAGTAATAACTTGTTTATATATATGGTAGTATTTGTGTTAACTTACATCATTTATTGTCGTATACCGTAGTAACTCTTCCCAAATCAACAGCCGTCGTTTCCTCTTCCAGGAAATAGCTTTAGGAATATCATTTGAAGTTTTTAATGCATATGTTTGCATGTCGGGAAAAGCCTCAAATATCCAAATCTACAAAAACAATATAATACACAAACATTAGTAATTGTTAAATAATTAATTATAATTTTGGAAACATTATATAGAAATTCTTACCTTAAAGGCCCAAATAAAGCCTGACAAAGTGTATTTTGAACCATCGCCACGCAAACTTTTGCGGTCATCAAAGGCAGACGACAACTTATTCTAGGTAGCTTTCCATAGATACGAACCCCACGAAACAGTTCCATGCATTTAGGTCCTCTACCAATAATATTAGGTCCTTAGGAATAGGTTGTTTGGCCTCTCTGTCTAAAAAGCCGGCATGCAAAAGTATTAAAAGGCATACTCGGACAACATCGACGTCATCCATCCTAGTAAAACCATATTTCTTATTCAATAATCTCGTCAAGTCGTCGACGTGTAAATTCGGCTTCTCCATTGACAGCTCAGGAAAAACCTGGGATAACCATGATGGGCGGGTAATATGACTAGTGTATCGTCCTACATCATCGTGTCCGAAGCGTAGACCAGTGATTAAGCAAAACTCCTCCAGCCTAAAACACGTATACGCCGGTGGAAAATGAAACCATATCTCTTCATTACCACATTTTATACTCTCGGGTAGATCGCTAGTCATGGTCTGAAGCCACAAATGGGTCAACATAACATCTCCACCCGGATGTTGTACTTTCAGCCATGGCCCGAAGCAAGTATCCTCAAACAATGTTCTTTGTACAAGTGAAAGCTTCGACGCAATTGTAGTGACTAGGCTTATTTTATTCCTTAAGGTCAATTGAGCCAAAAAAAAGTTCTATAAAAACAATAAACATACCAAGTTAGATTAAAAATTACACTGTGAAGATATACCAAAAACAATAATAAACATAAAGAGTAGTAGTAGTTTATTCTTCAAACTTAAATTTGCAACCTGTAAATTTCGTATTTGTCTTTGTTTTTTGGTTGAAGTAATGCAATTCATTCAAGTTTCAATTTGCAGAAGAATAATAGTTTCTGAAACTTAAAATCGCAACACGAAAATGACTATCGCAACGCGAAATGAAAATCGCAACACGAAAATGACTATCGTAACGCGAATTTGACTATCGTTACGATTTTCATTTCGCGTTGCGATCCTCGGTTTCAAATAGTCATTGTCTAAAATTATAACTTGAATGAATTGCATTACTTCAACCAAAAGACAAAACAAAGACAAATACTAACTTTACAAGGTTAAAGACTAAACAGTTTAGCAGTATTGACATCAATCGAATGAATTTAATAAGCAATCTAAGTGAAATGGTTAATTTATTATTAAAATTACCAGTAAACTTATCATTAATTTCAATATGAAAAACCTAATAATAATGCAAAAATTTCAAAATAAAAATAATTAAAAAAAACTAACCATCGGTGGTTGATTTGGTTGATTTTCCATTTCTGATCGTGAATGATTGTGAGGGTGGCTCTGAGAGATGGAGATAGACGGATTTCGCCGGAGATAGGGACGGATGTCGCCGTAAAAAGAGTGAGAATGGAGATGGGGCTGAGTTGTGATTTAGGGTTTTAGGTTAAGAGTTACGATTACGGGATGTATTAACATTCGTGTTTGGAATTTGAAAATAAAATACACGTTGTGATACTAATGGCGCTTTGAAAATCGCATTGCGATTTTGTATTATCGCATTGCGATTTTGTATTATCGCGTTGCGATTATGTATTATCGAGTTGCGATTTACATATTCGCATTGCGATAGTCAAAATCGCGTTACGAATCTGGAAACTGATTTGATTTACTGGAGATCGCGTTGTGATTTAGAGATCGCATTGCGATTTTGTTGGTCATTTTGGCAAATCGAAAAAAAGTTGGTCAAAATCGTATATTATAAGGAATTTTCGGTCACTGACATTATTTTCTCAATAATAAAATGCCAAGCCTATGATGAGTGATGAGTAGGCTCCAACATGGGTGAGACTATCTGGGCAGTTGATGCTACCACCTAACAAAAACTAGCAAATGGGAAAACATAAGGCATAAAGCCTGCCAATCTAAGATTCATGATTATGATCCCTTAATCAAATATGATTTAAAACACACCATTAAAATTAATTAATTCTATTGATCAAATACTCAAATCTTAATTTAATTATAATTATTATGGTTAAAATCTATTACAGGTACATGTATTATATTTAAAAAAAATTATTTTAATCTCAGTGGTAAAGTAATCGTTGTTATTCCTTAAGGTCCCGAGCCGAGCAGCGTTCAATGTCATCTTTGAGAGATATTATTTAACGCGAGTTCAAAATTGAGAGGACCTACAATGTATTAATAAAAAATATTAAAATCAATTAACTATAAGTTTAATGTTTTGAACTAAAATGTTAACTTTTTAAACGTACGATGATTAAACTTTAATATTTAAAGTTAGAATATGAATTAATTTCAACAAAATTTTAAGAGAGATTAGTTCACGTGAGTTCAAAATTGGGAGGACCAAAATGTATTTAAATCAAAATATTTAAACCAGTTAACAATAAGTGTAATATTTTGAACTAAAATTTTTACTTTTTAAAGGTACAGGGACTAAACTATTTCTCTACAATAGAAAAACTAAAATAAAACTTTTAGATTTAATATTAACATTAAAATATATTTTTATACCTGCCATTATTAAATAAGTAAAGAAACACTTGGTACATATAATGATAAAAAAATCAAGAAATATTATTTTTAAAAATTAAAGATTTTAGATATTCCCCAAATATTAATTTTTATTAACAAATTTTAAGAATTTTAGAAATTAGTTTGAAATTAAATATTTTATTTTTTAAATATTATCTGTCATTTTTTGTATTAGAAAAAGAATTTTTTTAACTTAGATTAACAAATTGATCTTATGATAATAGAGAACTGGAATGTCAGATACTATTTATAGTTTATTTGTTAAAATAAATATTTAGTACGAATTAAGCGATCTCGACGGTGAAGGAGTTTTTTTTTTCAAGGTCCCAAATTTAATATCATGAGTATAAACATTTAATGTCAAATAGTTAAGAATTATATTTGAATAAATATTATCTTATAATTAGGGGAGTTCAAAACATGGTACCCGCATTTTCAAATATATGAAGTGTCGGATACCCTATTCTTCGAGTAGTATATTTCTCGACCCGTGATCGATTCGTTAAGTTCGGATAACTAGTAGTCGGGTACCTGTAAAATCTGGGTATTCACATTTTTTTATTTATTTAAAAAAATATATAAAAATTTAAAAGTTCGTTATACACAATTCATACACAAAAATTAGTGATTTGAAGTTAGTTTTAAAGATAAATATTTGGATATATATATATATATATATATATATAATAAAGTTTATTTCCAAAAGAAAAAAATAACGTTATTAATATCGATTGTGATTTTTTTAATCTTAGACAAATTAACAAATTTTTTTTTGTAAAATTTAATACTTAAAAGTACATAATACAAATATAAGAAAACAATTAAGGATTTAAATTTAATTCGAAAATAAAAATATTAAGTAACCTAAAATAAAAATATAATTTAAACTATATATATATATATATTACCGGGTCAGGTCAGGTACCTGTTAAAAAAACATATCGACCCAAACCTGATCCAACTATCCTGGAAAAAATCATGGGTCGGGTATCGGCCCTATCAGGTATTTTTTTTAGAGAATTGCCCCCCATTTCTTAGGTTCTGGTAGACAAATCGACAGGTTGAATATTTTTAAGAAATAAAGATATTTATAGTTAAATTATTTATTTTCTAATTAATTGTTTATATATCATAATTGGATAAATGGATTTGATGGAAGAAACTAATTGAACCGGTCGAGAAATCGGTTTGCTGTCACTAGGAGGAAGAGGGAAAAGTTTGAGAATATCAAATAAAAGGAGAGGGGAAGAGAAAGAGGTACTGTTCCTGCCCTTTCTTGTTTCAAAAAGGAAAAGATAATCTTTTTTCCTCTTCAGTACTTTGATTTGATGATTTTGTGAGTAGTTGATAATCTCGTGTTGCAGTTCTTGAATCAAAGTTAACTTTTGTGGCGAATAAACAGAAAAAAGAGAGTGGAAAAACAAAGATAAAAGAAGAAGAGTTGGTTTTGATTTGATTGCTTTGAAGAATCAATCAATCAAAATTGGATGAATCGCAGCAGATGATGATTTGTTTTTGGTCTCAGAATGCGAGAGAAGGGATTAACGCTTGTCTTCACGATTACGATAGGCTCATCAATGTCGCTGTCATCCTCATTTACATCCAAGTAATCTCTCCCTTTCTTTCGCTCTTTGTTTTCTTTCCTTACTGGAATTAGAATCTGGGGTTTCGTTTTGCGTTTGTTGAAAAGAATGAGTTGTTATTTGATTGATCAGATTGGTTGTTCCTTGATCGGATCCCTCGGCGCATTATACAACGGTGCGTCGCTGATGAATTTGGAGATCGCATTATTCACTTTGGTTGCCATCGCGAGCAGCAGTCAAAGCTTGGGCCGAACCTACGCCATTTTGCTATTCTGCGCCATTCTCCTCGACATCTCTTGGTTCATCCTCTTTTCCCGCGATATTTGGAACACGTCCAACCAAAGTAATGAGATGTTGTTGGTCTTCTCGCTCAGATTAACGCTTGCCATGGAGATCTTGGGGTCTTGCGTAAGATTCTTTTCGTCCCTGTTATGGATTCAAATATATAGACTGGGAGCTTCGTATGTAGATAGTTGTTCTAATCTGCGAGAACCCGATGTGAGAAATAGTTTTCTCAATTCCAGACAGCGCTCCAACAGTGATTCCGATGACGCCGTAGGATCTCATTACTCTTCTCTTCTTGACGACCGTCAGCAACCCGAAAGTTCTTAGCTAAAGCCATCGCTTGGTAGGACTCTTTCTGGCTAATCATGTAAGCATCTTGTTTTCCCTTGGACTTTCTGTATATAGAGTTATATTTTGATGGTAATAATACTATCTGGAAGTTGCATTTCATTGTCCCAAGTTGTCATGCAATATTTTTCTGCTAGGAATGTTACCTCCTTTCTTGTCGACCAAGTGTTCTAACTTTGAAGATTGACATGCTTTTGGTTTAAAGCTTCCTGCTTATTTGGTTTGATTGTTGAAAGTTACTGACATTGCCCCACTTGATTGTCAGCTCGAAAACAGAATTATATTCTATTAGCCACAACAATGTGAAAGAAATACTATCTAAGATTCTGACCAATATTCGATAAGAATTCACTGGTCGCTGCCATTCCTCTATCGGTTTCTTTTATCCTCTTTGTCTTGTTTATTCATGCAGTTCCTAAACATTGTACCTTCTCTCTGTTCTGAACGTGCACCGGCTCGTTTGAAGAAATTGCCTTTCTAAACATTATGGGATATCATACTGAAATAATCGAACCAACTTAGTTAACTGTTAAAAAACTAGTTCTTATCAGTTTATAATGCAGTACTTGTCCTGCATTGCTTTTGCTGCTTTTCTTCTATTTTTCTACATGGATTCGGCAATACAATTTGCAGTATCTTCTCTCATGTTTAGTTAAATTTGTTGTCTATTTCTTTGATGATCCATAAAGCTCCTTCTTCATCTACTTGGTTCTGGAAGCTTTTAATTTAGTGGTGATTCGTGGCATAGTTCATCAATTAATGAGGCTGAGCATAATACGTTAATTTGGTTCTTTTTATTTTAAATGTTGAACATTGCACAACAATATATAGCTCTGCTAATTACTGGTTACAGTATTTTCCTTTTTGCCAGTCCATCACTTTGCTTAGCGCCTTTAACCCATACTCAATAATTGCAGGTGGAGAATACTACAAAAGTGACCCAGACTCATTGAATTCAACCACAACTGTAAGAGGTTCAGCTTGGTATTCCTACTTTTGAAGTTTCTTAAATTTGTTCGGCACAGCCTGAGAAATTGGCGGGTGTGGGATTTGTAGAACTTCCTGCTCTGTCATTCTTTTCCCAGGATGTAGGTGGAGCTAGTAGAGTTAGATGTTCAGTTTATCTTGTAAGAAATAAACTCGAAAGGGATTTCACGATTTGTAGGTTTATAGTTAGCAGGGCATTGTTACTTTTTTAGCTCTAAAGTGTAGATCAGAACCACATGGGTGTGGTAACAGCTCCCTCTTGAACATGCTTGGGATTAACATCGAGATATTCAGAATGCTATATGAGGGATGCCCTTGAGATATCTCTAGATTCTATTGTAAGTGTCATCCTTTAGAAAGCAGAAATAATAATTCGCCTTTCGTTTGTGCTTTCCCCATTTTGACAGATTTGTGGGGATTTTTTACTTGTGATTGAATGGAACGATTAGTTGATTAGGATTGCCGAAACCAAAATCCGAAATTCTGAAAGTTTGAAGAAAAATCGGCAAGAACAAACTTTGATGTAAAAAAAAAAACTTGTGAGAATAGAAATCTAGATAAATTCTATACCAAAATCATCGTCGTTTCCCCTCTTTCCGTGACCGGAGGGAGGTTGACACCGGTAATGCCATAATGGCATGGGTCTTTCGATATCGTGTGGTGACCTTGAGCCATCTTTTTGAAACTTCGGGTGGTTTCCTTTTGTTATTTGTCTGCCTGGTGGCTGGTAGGCATCTTTCTGGCTGCTACTGCCGCGTTTCTTTGTCCTGTTCAAGGTAGTGTTGTATCTTGAAGACTGCCATTAAAATGGTCCCCATGGTCGGAGGTATGCGTTCTTACAAGGTTGATGGCCATTTCTATTTTAATTGTTTGGTTTCTTTGCCTCCTTTATGAGCTTTAAGGTTTCTACAAGTTTTGGGAGGTATGTTCCTTTCACTTTGTTCCAAGTGTATTTTATGTGAGTCATATAATCCATTTCCAATCTTTTTATTTTCGGGTAAACAAGATTGGTCACTTACGTTTCAGTTTTGTTATCAATTTATTGTATTTTTATCATTGAACTGCTAATATTGGCACATTAAAAATAATTAATTTTCAATTTGCTTTCTGAACTTTTGAAAACTTATTTTCTCATCCCGTTTAAGAAAACCAATTTCTGGAGAGAGAAAAAATCTCTTATCTCTAACCTAAACTCTAGATTTAGTGTCGACATGTCTGTATTATCTGTTATATTGTCCTCCAATTAACAAGATGATCAAATGTTTTACAAGTTTTTGTGTTCATTTGCTAACCCAAATGGATTCAAAAGGATACAAATATTGATTATAGACAAAATAATAGATGATCATATAATACCATTTCAAGGGTAAAGGACCAAATGGGTAAGGTAATAGATAATCAATAAATATTTTTCTCAATTAATCTTTAAAATATCTTATTTCTCGATTATTATTATTCACCATTTCCCCCATATTAATCCCCAGAGAGACACATACAACTACAGATGGGCATGGGACGGGTAGGGTTTTTGGTCTACTCGACCCGAGAACAATGATTTCCACCGAGATTGACCCGACAAAACAAGATTTTACCCGACTCGATCCGAAATAATAATAAAATATTATTTTTATTCAATAAAAACAGTGATTAATTGAAAAAAGTTATATATAGAGGGTATTATTAATTATTTTTTAATATATAATAAAATTATATATTTTTCAAGTTAAGTCGAATATTTTTCATCATAAACCCGAATGCAAACCAAACCCAAAATTAAAAAAAAAAAACCACAACTCAACGGTTAAATCAAAACTCGTCGAATTCGAGTTTCATGCCTTTTCCTACCAACAACGCGTTTGGATATCCCTTATTACAAAATAATATAATATAATATATAAAAGGAAAAAAGTACAACTATCACCATTTCATTTCTTCTTTGGACGCAATCAAAATCCTCCAACTCATACCATTCTTTTTGCTCCATGCTTCTTCAACTTTTCGTTTCTTTGCTGTAATTAAAGGTAAGAAGAAAATAAATTCAAAATCATCTCTGTTGTATGTTTCTGTATCTGAAGTATTTTGTTTTTTCTTTTGCTTGTGTTAATTATTGGACTGATTTGTGTTTCTTTCATAATTATTGGGGGGGAATTTATGTTTTGGTTTGGGAATTTGAAGTTTGTTGGTTTCAGTATCAAAGATCCTTCATCGCTGCTGTTTGATTTTGCTAAAGAAGGGTTTTTCTTTAACAAATTGTTTAGGTGTTGGAACCTAGTGTTCTTTGGGAAGATTTTGTATTCTGGAAATTTTTATTTAGTTTTTCTTGGAATCATACGCTGGGAATTTAGTTTGGGGATTTATATATGTAGATCTGCTAAATCATTAAAAAGAAGTTATGATCTCTGTGGGCAGATTTGCTTTCCATTTTAGTTAACTGTAACTGGTTTTAATAATGTTTATTTGCTCTTTGCTTGTGATAGAACCCTAAAGAGATTGTAAAAGAGGAAAAATAATCTGTGCCGAGGAAAGGCGTCGAAGATAATGGAGGAAGCAATGGCAGCAAGGTACTGGTGTCACCAGTGCTTTCAAGTGATTACTCCGATCATGGAAGTTGAGATTAAATGCCCGTTTTGTCAAGGTGGATTTGTCGAAGAAATGAGCGGTGGCACCGGAGACGGTGCTCAAGACATGGACTCGAATTTCCAATCCGATCGTGCGCCCTCTCTGTGGGCGCCCATCTTGTTGGGTATGATGGGTAATCCCCGTCGCCGCAGAAGACTTGGACATTTTGAGTTTGATGAAGAGGATGGTGAGAATTCTGATGGTGAAGCTCGCCATGGAGGTGATATGGACTTGGACAGAGAGCTTGAATCCATCATGAGAAGTAGAAGAAGAAGCTCTGCGACGATTTTGCAGTTGCTTCAAGGTATTAGAGATGGAATGGCATCTGAAACCGATAATTCCGAGAATGATAGGGATAGGGATAGCGATCGGAATCGGAATCGGGACAGGGAACGAGAGCGTCTGATTTTGATCAATCCTTTCAATCAAACTATCATTGTCCAGGGTGGTCAAAACCAGAACACCAACCATATAGGGTCTATAGGCGATTATTTCAGCGGTCCTGGCTTAGATTTATTGTTGCAGCACTTGGCAGAAAATGACCCCAACAGATACGGGACGCCACCAGCACAAAAAGAGGCGATTGAGGCCATGCCAACCGTGAAAATCAAGGAGAATTTGCAATGTTCTGTGTGCCTAGATGATTTCGAGGTTGGTGGTGAAGCAAAGGAAATGCCATGTAAGCATAAGTTCCATAGTGGGTGCATTTTGCCATGGCTGGAACTTCATAGTTCATGTCCAGTTTGCAGACACCAAGTCCCCGCTGATGAATCCAAACTCGATTCCGATAGGCCAAGGAGTAGTAGCAACCGGAGAGAAAGAGAGAGAGAAAGTGAAAGCAACGTTCTCGAACACGGTAATGTGGAAGAAAGTGAAGGGGACGGGAGAAGCGGAGAAGGTTCTCGTTTCCATGGCCATTCAACGGCTTGTTCGCATCAGGATCTCAGTCCAGCAGAGGGAATTCTTCGCGCTCGACATCCGGAAATGGTTCCCAAACAGATGAAAACTGAGTTTACATGGTATCAGCATTCCTGTTTGTTGTTCAATACGACTATGATTGATGATGCTTCAACATTCTATTCGGCCTTGTCTACTGTGTACAATAGTTATTTGCAAAAGGTTTGGTTTTTATTATTGGATTTATGCATTCTTGTAGATTCTTGCCCCTTGGAGCACTTGTTTCACAAAATTCTGAGATACTTTTGTAATCTTGTTTGAGTGTTTCTGCTGACATTTGGATAAAATCTGTCGATTTTCCGACATTCGTTCCGATCGGATGTCTGGTTGAATGATTCAATTATGTTGTAAATCTAAGGGTAAAATAAGGTCGTTGGTTCAATTATGTGTTTGATAATAAATCAGTATCGTTTTATATTATGATTTTATATTTAATTTTATATTTATAATATGAATATGTTTTATTAATTAAGTAATCCGAGGCTGACTTTTAGGTGAACGTAAATGAAGTTTGTTGAAACGGGAAAGGAAGAGATTAACCTTCGATTGATATTTCTATGGTCAGCATGATGAGATTTTCAATTGAGGGTCATAGATGTAATTGTAATTGTCCATAGATTAATTAATTAATTAATTAATGGTGAAGTAAACCCATCTCAATAAATATAGGTGAACTGAACTTCCAGAATCCTCCCTTGCTTCTTGCCAGCTAAGGCGGTTTTTCTTTTAGCCCTTTAGGAATCTCGGTTTATATTTTGGGATCTACGGTATTTTTTAGTGTTATTGAAATTCGTCATGTTGAAGTGACGAATTTCAATAAAAAATATTTTTTATTTGAACTCATCACGTCGAGGTAATGAATTTTAATAAAATATAATTATTTTTATTAAAATTTATCACATCGAAATAAAAAGTTCGAATAAAAAATAATTTTTATTAAAATTCGTCATCTCGACGTGACGAGTTCCATGTCAATGTAGAAAATATCATAAATCCCAAAATAAATTTTTACTTGCCCTATTATGCTAAATAAAAAACTCATATATGTTACTAGGGAGGGATGGGCATGGGTCGGGTTTTTTGGTCCACCCGACCCGACCCGAGAACAAGAGAGTCTCCACTCGAGACCCGACCCGACCCGACCAAAATAAGATTTCACCCGACTTGATATATAACTTAAAAACTCAATCCGACCCGATCCCACCCGAAATAAAAAAAAAAACTATTTTTATTCAATAAAAACAGTGATTTAATTGAAAAAAAAATATATATATAAGGGTATTATTGTAATTATTCCTAAATATATAAAGTAAAATTATATATTTTTTCGGGTCGGATATTTTTCACCATAAACCCGAACCCGACCCGAATTTCACACTTAAAAAAACTGACCCGAACCAGAACCCGATTTTTTAAAAAAAAATCCTACTCGATCGGAACCCGTCGAATTCGGATCCCATGCCATCCCTATTAATCTTACTGGTCCAATTTTACCTTCTAGCGACGCTGGATGGTCTTCTATCTAATGGTTATTAGCCCACATTATTGATGAAAATTTGAATCATTCATTATCATATCCGACCGGATCTTATCATAAACGTTTTATATATTAAAATTTATCAAAAACACTTCTCTATAAAATAATTATTTAATAACATGAAATAACGAAATATTTATATAATAATTTTATATTAATTTTTAAATGATGATTTTAAAACATATTTTTAAAGATTATTTAACAATAATACAATCTATTCATCTGTTAATCCGCTACACATTTTACGACTTCCTAAGCACTTCACGTATAAATAC